CACATCATCATCTCTATTACTACCATCACTGTTAACAACAGCAACACCATCATCATCACCACTATCCTTACAGTCATCGCCATCATTATTAGTCACCACTCCTCTCAAAGACAGTGCCGAAAGTCCCCTCCTCCATTCTAGTGAGTGTGCAGTGATGTAAAGTGTGTGAGGCCAGGGGTCTAGTTCACAGTTGGCATTCAGGGCCAGGAACCGAGACGCATTGTCTGCGCCCTTGCCCCAGGGGCCACACAGGTGGCACTGTGTGAACACTTGGTGGAAGACACTGACGGTGAACTCTTAAAATCTTCCATGACAGGCAGGTCTGGGACATGCTGCCTTGCACCACATGCACCCCAGGATCCCAGTGTTAAAGCTGGAACTGACTGCCGACACTTGCCTGACCCCTGTATTCGTCTTGTGGGCTCCTCAGTTCAGCCAAGGAAATGGGGATGGAGGAGTTCACTCCTCTATTTCTTCCCTCTCCTGCTAACTAGAGGGAGAGCAATGGTGTGAGATGGGGAACCTGCCCTCTCAATAGCTATGTGCTCTTGGGTAAATTATGGCCTCTCTCCGAACTGGAGTTTCCTTAAGTCCAAAATGGGAGTGAGCCTCCCTGCTTGGGTTGAATAGCAGGGAGGGGACCGACAAAGTAACTGAGATGGGTGATGGATAGTATTTGAGCTAGGCTATGTGCTAGACAAAGGCCACAGCTAGCTTCGGCTAGATCCACCCCTTCCATCAGCAGCCATATCCCCAGACAGTCTGGATGCTTACCAAGCCCCTTTCTTCCGCCCACTGGGTTTGCCCTGGACTACATTACCCAGCCCCCTTTGCAATCTGACGTGGCCCAGTGAAGCCTAGTAAACAGAGATGAATAAAGTGAGATGCAGGCTTGTGAGCCTGGTTCTGGCCGATGCTTGGGCTCTCTGATGCTCAGGAGAGACAATCCAGCATGGCAGTCTTGGGGGCTGTGCGCTCAAGGTGGTGAAGTCACAGACAGAAGCGCCGGGGAGCAGAGAGCCTGGCAGTCGGGAGCACCTGTTTCGAACTCTACGCGGGTAAGCAACACCCAAACTCACCGTCTGGCACTTGCTGCAGCAGCTGGTGTGCCAAACCTGCGCACCTTGGTAGGATGGAGACTGCCGTGGCTCCATCACTCACTTTGTTTCTGTCACAGTCTGGATGTGTTGTTTCTAGAAGTTCTAGCTGCTCCTTTAACAAAATGCCACGGCCATTTCATAGTCTTTTAATTCTTGCTAAGCAGAAATCATTGCGGCTACGACAGGAACTACGTTAGGAGTAAAGAAGAAAGCTCTGTGATGCCTCCTGGGTCCCCTGGGTGGCCACCTCCATTTCTTTATTATGTGTTCTAGGTTTGGCCTTGAAGTGGGGTAGTAAATGCTGTGTCTTAGGCCCTGTCATGTGCTCTGTGGCCCTGAAACACAGCCCCACCCATGCTGGAACACCAACCATGTCTCTGGGGGTCTTGGACCAGGACTGGCTCTGTCTCCTGGCTGATTGTGATATTGGCTGAAGGGGGATCAGAACAGTCAGTGAGGGCCTGCTGACAGGGGTCAGGGCAAGGCTCTGGGGTATGCTGGCTACGCCAGTCTGTTGCTTACCTTCTGGTTAGTTGTCTTGGCTGTGTCCTTCTGAGCCACATAGGTGATGCCTGTCCAGCCTGGAGAGGTAGGTGGTGGTGGCCTGTGTGGCAGTCAGCTCATCCTGTTGTCTGCTGTCTGTTCAAGTAGAGCAGTTTGGGTGTGATGATGGGGGTCAGAGCCGGGGCCAAGGGAAAGTGCCATGTGGCCAGCCCTGCCCCATGACCCAAGGCTCCTGGAAGCATCTACTTCCAGGTCCTTTCTTCGATGTCTAAGTTGTCCTTCTCGTCACTGTAGCATTACACACGCAGAGAGAACCACCTGTCACACCTCATCCTGCTATCCTGGGCGAGAGCATTTTCCTTCTGCTCTGCTGTATGTGCTCAGGCTCCAGCAGATGTCAGAGTTAGCGCTATAGCCACCATGCTGGCCTAGAACATTCTAGATGCTTCTCACCTTCCCTCTACCCTGGCTTTGTTTCCATAGCAGCCTGGCTTAGCTTCCAATAAAGGACCAAACCAGCACTGGAACCATCCTGGAGGCAAGTAAGACTCCTTTGCCTGGGGTGTTTAGAAAATGTTAAGATTTGGGGTAGGGAAGAAACTGGCATTGCACCACACACCACTAAAACCAACCCCACACCTGCTTTATGGGGGGAGCACTCTTGTGTGTTTATGACTGGTGCCACAGGTCTTTCCTTTGGGCACACTTGATGATGAGAGTATAGCAAGTCTTGCTTCCAATAAATCAGCACCAAAGGACAGCATAGTGTGTCACACTGTCACCCCCAGGTGCCAGCCTAGTCCTTCTCTGAGTAAAGACAGAGAGTGTGTTGGACCTGGATTTCCCAGAGTTGAGATTCAAGAGCATGGATGGGCAGACACCACAAACCCGAGGGAGCTATGCCAGATGCTGGGAAGGTTCTAGGCTGTTTAATTTCCAGGCCCAAACAAAGAGTTCCCATTCTTTCAAGCATTAGAGGAGGAGAGCACACATGCTGCCCAGCTGGACTTAAGCTGTGCAGTGCAACAGAGAACATCCTGTCCCTAGGTTTCTGAATACCTCTAAGGAACATCTTACAGGAGTGTAAAATCCTCAGACACACTTAGCTATACATATGTCTCGAAGCTCTTGTGGAAAAGAATAAAATCACATATGGAAGACATCAGCCTCAGCAAAAACACCCTGTGTTTGGTGCAAGGTACAGGGAGGGTAGTGACGGCTTCCTGGCAAGGTGGAGGAGATACATTGGTATTTGCTGCCAGCACACCTACCATGAGTTGCTCCTGGCTATGTGTTTCCAATCCCCACTTTGCCCACAGCAGAAGCCCACACATACAGGACACAGAATGACAGGCTGATCCAGGAGAACCATGCATGGTAGGCATTGGGCAAGGCTGGGATTCTCAAGGGGACCAGATGAGGGGCGCTTTTTGGTGTTAGCAACAGGAAGGCCAGCTGAGGGAGGGATGCTTGGTTCTGCTTGTGCTGGGCCAATCACCCGTCACCCTCCTGCTAATGTTTGCAGAGCCCTGGTCTTGCCAGCAGGTTTTTTCCCCTTGGTGCTGAAGATGAAACTAGGCAAGGTCTCTGCCACAGAGCCTCATCCTGTCCCTCCCCAAGGGTGGTAACAGGTCATCACAAAGCTGGGCAGTTTCGTAGAATGAGGCTGGCTTGTCCACAGCTCTGAAGATTGGCATCTGCAATTCAGATTCGTGCTGAGCTGGGGCTCCCTGGAACCCTTGAGGGGATCTAATCTGTTTCTGACCCTTTCCAGATCTCGGTGGTTCCTTGGCTCCCTGCTTCATGCTCCCACCTCTGCCCTGTCTTCACATGCCTGTCCGTCTGGGTCTCTTCCACATTGCTGGCTCAGACCTCTCTCTCAAACACTCATTTCACTGTTTTAAAATGTAAACAAGGAGCCTGGGGAGATGGCTCATTCAGTCAGTAGTTTTCTTCTCAAGTTCTGTCCCCAACACTCACCTAAACACCAGGTGCTACGGCTCACACTTGCAATCCAAACGCAAGGAGCTGGGGGAATAGTGACAGACCGGTACTTGCTGTCCAGTAAATGCCACCTAATTGGTGAATCCCAGGTTAGTGAGAGGCCCTCCCAGAAACCGAGGTGGAGGGTGGTCAGACACACACATACAGACAGACAGACAGACAGACACACACACACAGACGGACAGATGCATTTACATGTACACACCCATAAACTAGGCTGTCTCCGGTAGTGACACCTGAAATTTCAGCATTCTGGAGCCAGAGACAGGATTACCACAATTTTGAAGCGAACCTGAGCTATACAGCAAGACCCTCAAAACTCCCAAACAAAACCAAACAACAATAAACAAAAATCAAGCTATAAAGAGGAATCTGGAACACTTCTGACTGTCTGGGGAGGGTGTAGACAGAGTGACTATGTACATAGAAGTCAGCTTAATATCGTCAGATAACAAAATGACTCTCATCTATGTCTTCATGTCCACAAAGCCTGGGTCCTCTCCCCCAGGAGGCTGCCTGCCCTATTGGGAACAAGTCCCTCGTTCTCAGCTGAGGCTACACAGCCCACACTCAGGGCTGCACCAAGAAGCGAGGCTCCCGAGTTGAGCCAGTGACTGACCTGTCACTCACACACTTGTATGCATTTCACTTCTGAGAGTTCGAATGCCTTTTCAGGGGGACATTTTAATCAATGTGTTCCATAAAAGAAAACTCTTGGTTTTGAAATGAACACTTTCATGGGTTTAATTTAACAGCAGAAGCTTAATAGGGGAACAATTTTGCCCTGTTTAAAATAATTCACATCTGCAGGGATGTGTTCGATTGAAAACATAGCCAAGGTGAGGGCGGGCTTCTGAGTGGAGGCATATTGGAAATCAACCCCTGCTGGGTCTGGTGGAGCAGGCCTGTAGTCTAAGTTCAAGTCCTGCCTGGGGACTTAGTGAAACCCTGTCTCAAAATAAAGAGAAAAAAAAAAACACAGGAGGGAGATGTGGTCATTGATAGACCACTTACCTATGGTCTGTGAGATTGTGCCTGATAGTGGTTTTTTCTTTTTCCTATTGTCAGCTTGACACAGCTGGGCTCATCTAGGAAGAGGGCCGATCAATTGAGAAAATGCCTCCTGTTGGGCATTTTCTTGATTAATGACCAATGGGGGAGGGTTGGCCTTGTCGTCACCTTTTCCTTTGCTGCTGTGGCTTTCAGAGAGTCTCCCCCGGAGGGTGGGAGCCCTGGGCGTCTCATTCAAGGCACCCGTGTCTAGAGCAGTGCACAGATTTCAAAAAGAACCTTGTCAGATGGAGAAGTTGGGTTCATTTGACAACGGAGACTACCAGACCTAGAGGCGTGTAAGCTGCATCTAGACTCTGACCTGTGTCCTCTGTCCTCTAGGCCCGAGTGACCTCTTATCCTTCTTCGGGCATTCCTGTTGTCCTGAAAAAAAAAATAACCAAGAGGCAGTAGCATCCTGTAAGTGAGCCATGTAGAGGCATGCTGCAGAAGAAAGGACAACTATTCATGATCATCTTCAGACATTAGACGGAGAGCCACAAATAGACATCTCGAGCAACTGTTCCTGCCTGCGGGACTCTGCACTTTCCCCCTCCTCATGTCTCGCCACCTCCTGCTCTGAGAGTTGGATATTTGCCAGTCGATTGGTTATTTCCTGGGGGATTAATGAGAAGGTGGGCCGTCCGATTGCCTACAGGATGTTATTCTGAAAACACGTCCCCCCCCAACCCCCCAACACACACAGACAAATCAGAGGCTGACCTCGTCTTGGAACAGGCAGCAGACAGAAGAGCCATGAGTGATGAGGGCCTCTGGCTGGGAGGCACCCTAGCAAAGCCGGGGCTTCAGCGTGGGTGCAGCACACTGACTTCATCTTCTGTTGTGCCCTTGGACTCAGGCCTGAGTCCATCTGCACCCGGCTCAGGACAGGTGGAAGGATAATGCCTTTCCGCCCTTGGCTCCCAGCGGCTGTGTTCACACGGCTGATGTTTCTCTCATCTCATCCATCCTCCTCTTCCCTGCCCATCCCCTCCTCCCAGCAAAGTTCCATGATAAGATGCTCTGGACCAGCTCCTGGTGGGCCAGGCAGGGATTGGTCTGCATGACATAGAAGAAACTGGAAATAGTAACTGGATGCTAAAAAGATATGCTAAGGAACTACTAAATAAAAGGAAGTGGAATTTACCTAGCTAAAGGAGTGCTCAACGCTGAGTAGTATATGCTGACTAGACTGTCGAGGCAGAAAGGAAATAACTATCTGTGCCTCTGACATAACTAAGCTTCAGGTTTGTTTCTTAAAATTCTGTCATAAGTTCACTAAGATCGCTGCCAATTAGGTTTCAGTCACACACGAAAGGAGACATCCTTGCTCACAGCCGACCATCAAACTCACCTCCCACATCAAAGAGCCTCTATAGTGCACTTCAAAGGGGACAGTACTGGGTCAGGGTTGCATTAAGTCCTGGTCCATCATTAAGCCCTTTACCTCTTATCTGGAAGAGCATAATTCTGCCAGAAGGCACCGGCCCGAGAAAAGCAGCCTTGGTCCATTTGGGGATAACTATGGCAGTAAGAATTTCTACATTGTAAATCTCCCTGTTTGTCCCGACAACCAAACCTTGGAGCTCTGCCTCTATGGAGCACTACTCAAAGTGTAACTTGGGGCCATGAACCTATATAAACAGGTTTTCCATTTGTTCCATTTTGTGCATTAGTCAGAAGAGATCACATGCTATTATTAAAGAGTTTTTACCGTTTATAAATCTCTGTATGCTTGGAATGATTTCTCACTGGAAAGGTGAATTAATTCTTAGATACTAACCAGAGCTCTGGATCATCCCTCAGCCACACCAGTCTTTGGGAACATTTGTTCCCAACACTAAGCCACTCCCCTTACCTGCCCTGCACCCCCAGGGGCTGCACAGTGTGACTTGCTCCAGCCTCTCTGATTGGTCTTCCTTGCCCCTTCCTCCTGCACCTGTTGGTCCCCTTGACCTTGAATGTGTTGGAGTTCTCTTGAGTTCTGTATCTCCCCCAACCCCCTTACTGAGCAGATTTTGCTTGGTGGCTTTACATGTCAATGAGATACCCAGGTCTCAGCTGTCACCTGTCTTCATGGCCTTGGCACTTGCGTGTCAGAGCTAAATCTGCACAAGGACAAAGGAGCAGCTCCCAGCTTTCTTGCCTCTCAGAGCTTAAGAGTCCAGGCTCCTGTGTAAGGCTTGCACCGCAGCCTCAGGCTATCAGAAAGGCCCACAGCTCTGCTTGCTTCTCTCCATAATCATCCCACCGGGCCAGTCCTCCTGCACCCTGGCTGCCTGCGGTCAGCTCTCCCCAGTGCTCCACAGCACACCAGCCCTCTCCTCCAAACCTCCCTGAGCCACCCTGCCTTATACTGGAAGTACAGCTCAAGTCCTTACCAAGGTCCCCAGAGTCCACCTCAGGGTCTCTCTGCGTCCATCTCATGTTACCTCCCTGCACTCTCCTCCCCTTTTCATGGAATCATGCTCCGCTCCTTGGGATTCCCCTGATGATGCGCCAGGCACCCCCACCCCAGGGACTTTGCACCTGACGTTCCTCTTCTTAGACGCCGTGCTCCAAGAAACCCACTGGGACTGTGGCCTCACCCCCGTTAGTCCTGCTCACCGTCTTGGTGTGACCCTTCCTCACCCTGCACACCCCTGCCTTTCTCTACTCTGTCTTCCCAGAGTGCCCTCCATTACACAACGTTTCATTAGTTATTGTTGCTTTTCTGTCCTCTACTATTGGGATGGAGGTTCCTTCGATGGTATATGACAGGCAGTCAATGTATGTTTCTGGATCCTAAGAAAACAGGTGAGTGTGTGTAAAAAGGTATGTGCACAGCTGATCCCGGCAGGCACTCCTTGATGCTAGCTGTCGGATGTGGGGACCATTTCTAATCTTTCTGACTCTCAGCATTATCATCCATAGAAGGGAACAGCAGTGGGACCAACTTCTCACAAAGAAGTGAGGCAATGGACTACTACAGTGCCCAGTGCCCTGCTGGGAGCAACTGTGTGCCTATGTTTCCTGTGATAGTGACATCACCAGGACGATGGATACTGATTGTTACTGTTTTTCATGGTGTCACTGACGCTGGGGGAGCATGAAAACACAGCTTGCGTAGTGCTTGCTCAGGGCTTCACGAGTGTCTTTCTCTGTTGGGGCAGCTCCTTCCTCACCTGCCATCAGCGGGAATATGGCTGAAGGCCTCTGTTCAGCTATGATGCAATGCTACTCACAGGGCACCCAGCCAGCCAGCACCCTATGACCGTCACTGATGGTTACAGGCTGGAGACTTGCCACAGGGAAATGAAGACTGAGGTGATTCATATAGGAAACGCAGGTGACAGGTGTCCACAGGTATGCCAGCCTTCGACATCCAGCATGGTGCCCAGGATGTGGGTAGATAGATGGAAAGGTTCACGGTGAATGGATGGGCTATGTATTGGCCACTTTTCTCATTGGGGTGACAAAATGCCTGGCAAGAACATCTTAAGGCAAGGGGAATTCATTTTGTTTCACAGCTTAAGGACATAGTCCGTGGTGGCAGGAAAATGAGGCAGTTGTATCTGCAATCAGGATGGAGAGAGAGAGAGAGAGAGAGAGAGAGGGAGGGAGGGAGGAATGCTGGGGCTCAGCTCGCTCTCTTTCTCACATTCACCTTCGTCAAAAGGCTACGGAGTAATCCGGTTCTCCTTTTTGTTTAGTCTGGTACCCACAGCACATGGGACGGTTCTACCCACATTCAGAATGGGTCTTCCTTCCTCAGTTAAATGTCAATGGAAACATCTTATAGGCACACCCAGAAGTGTGATTCCATGTCAACTCTAAATCCAGTCAACTTGACAATGAAGACTAGCCATCACAGACAAATGGATAGGCCAGAGGGCCCCACAGAGGGTGGATGTGTGCAGGTATATAAATACGTATGTCTCTGAGTATGTGCAGATGAATAGCGTGGTGGCTGAATAAGAATGGCACAGGGGCTGGAGAGATGGCTCAGTGGTTAAGAGCACTGACTGCTCTTACAGAAGACCGGGGTTCAATTCCCAGTACCCACATGGCAACTCACAACTGTCTGTAACTCCAATTTCAGGGATCTGGCATCCTCGTACAGACCTATATGCAGGCAAAACACCATTGCACATAAAAATAAAAATAAACGAATAAAAACTGACCCTCGTAGGTTAATGCATTTGAATGTTTAGCCATTAGGGAGTGGCACTGTTTGAGAAGGATTAGGAGGTGTGGTGTTGTTGGAGGAAGTGTGTCACTAGAGGTTAACTGAAGTTTCAAAAACCCATGCCAGTCCCAGTCTCTCTCTCTCTCTCTCTCTCTCTCTCTCTCTCTCTCTCTCTCTCTCTCTCTCTCTCTCTCTCTCTCTCTCTCTGCCTATGGATCAGGATGTAGTTCTCAATTACTCTAGCATCATGTCTTCTGCATGCCACCAGACTTCCTGTCATAATGATAATGGATTAAATCTCGGAAACTCTAAGCAAGTCTAATTAAATGTTTTCTCTTATAAATGTTGCCTTGGTCATGGTTTCTCTTCACAGCAATAGAACAGAGACTAAGACAGATAGATATGTGGTTGGATGGGTGGGTGGGTGGATGGATGGTAGATGAATGGATGGAAATATATGTGGTCCAGGCAAGGACGGGAAAACTAGTTAGTCTTATCAATCAAGAGTCACTAGAGAAACAAGGATGACAAAGGTACTATTTTGCCTGCAGACTTAGCTGGTATCTGTTCTCTGTCTCTATGCGATGGCAGACACATCATCTTCTTCTCTTGAGTCTGTATTTCCCCGATACCAAATGAGATATTTGGATTGGATGTTCACTAATGTTCCCTCCATCTCCCAGTCTCAATGAATCCATGATTCTGTGTGTACTGCATGGACCTTGAGGCTGTGATGATTTCCAGAGGGCCCCACAGTCTCTGCTACCCTGTACAGAGAGATGTCAGCATTAGCCACCAGCCAAGGGAGGTCATGTGGAGCCTCACATTATCACACCCCATACCCCAGCCATCATCATGTGAGGATGTTCAAGATGCCATGAAGAGAGGCCTGTGGAAGGGAGCTGAGGTCCCATCCCATAGCTGCCTGCATTAGCCACCAGCCAAGGGAGGTCATGTGAAGTCTCACATCTTCACACTCTCGCACTCCACACAACGCAGAACAACAGGAGTGCAAGCATAGCCCACGGCGTTGCCACAGAACATGGTGATGGGTGACTGCATGCTCTATGTCGTTCTGGCTCAGCAGCATGCTCCATAGCCAATACTTTATAATGAACAGAAATTTATGTTCTTGCAGTTCTGCTGCACCTTTGAATGTTGGAAGGCAATATAAGAGCACCACCGCTTGCCCCAGCCTTTTTATGGTAGCACGAATCCACTCCTGAAGGTACAGTTACTGTGATCTAAACATGTTCTAGAAGTTCCCACCTCACAGTATAGTCTTGAGGACCAAGTTTTCTAGCCGAGGAATGCTGGGGGTGTTTCAAACCAAAGCACCAGTTTCATCTGGGAGTGACTCATTGCATAGGCAGAGACTCTAAACCACTGGCCAGAGGAGACCTTGACTGAAAAATGGAATTTTAAGCAACATAAATAAACTAAATGCATCCATAGTTTTTACACAAATGCCAAATGGGTTAACATATGCATGGTTCGCTTTCTTGGCCGCCTCTTTGGTTCTGTTTTCCTATTTTGTTTGGCTCCTCTTTCTCTTTCCTACCCAGCCCATCCTTGGGCCAACCAAGCTCTGATTTATTCTTCTGAGTCTCATGGTACTGTGCACCAGTGTTCACAGATGCATAGAGAGAAGTACCAAGGGTCACGGTGCTGTAAAAGCATGACCAACAATGTACTTTTTGCCATCTTAGGTCTTCTCCGCTTTGTTGATTGACAATTCTTTGTGACAATCCTTTTAAATCCACTGTACAACACCCTTCAATTCACCCTTGTAAATAGTTGCATGGAAGTCCAGTCCCTTCCATCAGTCAGCAGTGGCCTGAGCCGGTGTGGATGCCTGGGATGTAGATTGTGTATGCTCCAGGGAGTTTATGAGTCAGCTATTAGAGTCAGCAAAGGTTCATAATGGGAACTTTCCGTAGACACATTATGTGGCCATCCCTCACCCTAGCTCAGGGACCGTCCTGTAAGAGGGGATGGAAAGATTGTAGGGATCAGATGTCAGGGAGGACCTGAAAGAAACAGGGTCTCCTGGGCATGACAGGACTGCTCACAGGATCTCACAGCAGATGCGGTTGTCTGCACAAGATCAGGCCAGTTGACAGGGCAGCACGGAAGGAAGGAGCTCGGAGCCCCCGCCCCTAACTGAGGCCTCTGGGGAGGGAGAAACAGTTATGCTTCAGGATATCGCTGGCCCCTGGTAAGTCAACCACACTCCAGTGGATGGCCACACGTGTAAGAGCGTATGTGCGGCTCGGTGGATTTTTTTCAAAGAGGAGAGAGCATGAAGTTGGGAGTCTATGAGAGGGGTGAAAGTGGGTCTGGGAGGACTGAAGAAGGATTGGGGAGGAAGATGATCAAAATACATCCTACAAAATTCTCAAAGGTAAATAACATGTAAAAAAGACACATTTATATGGAAAACAAAGGTAATACATGTTCAGAATATTCGTGGTGCCTCCTTTACCATTGTAGGTGTTCTGAAAGTGGTTGACTGTTGCTATGGAACATGACCCAGTGGTGCACGGCACATTTCTC